TTTGAAACAAATCTATACAAAGAGAATAATACATAAGTATACCTTTTTGATATAGAAAATAATGAGATATCTTTATAAAGGTTTTGATAAAAAGAATGAAATTTAGCTTATTAAGTTAGTACTCTAGTAGTTGCCTCACTAAGTCATCGACTTAGAGTGTGATTTCCTCATGCGTAGGTTTGAAGAAATCGAAAGACTAAGTTGTCGAGGATAACATACCGAGAAGATCAGATCAAGACGAACTAAATGTAGGTTTTTGTTAATTTTGTAAACTATTGGCATGTATTATACGTTTAATTTGAAGTGCTCTGATCTATTTTGTAAACTCATATATTTTGTAATTCCGTACATTATCAAGTTTTATATAACTATGAATGTGAAATATTTATCTTATTTAAGTTAAGTTTGATATCTTTTTATTTTGATCCAAAATTTTAAATTGTTCTTATTTGTTAATTACATATGTTTTGAAAAGTCAATGTGACACCTCAGATTCGTATATGGGTCGGGTACGGGTAAGGGGTGTTACATTTACTACTCTCCTTCTACAAAAAGGTTATTCACAACTATGGACGTCACTTTTCAAGAACATAAATCGTTCTTCTCAAAAACCAAAATTCACGGGGAGAGTTAGTCTGAATTTCAATTTTTACCGATTATTACTGAGTTACCCATCAGTCCATCTTCTACTGAAAAAACTACAACTCTACAACTCTCATGGAACACCTAGACCATCTACTGATGTTCTCATCTACAAAAGACGACCCAAGCAAGCCCTACCTTCCACACCGCATCCAATGCATTGTCAAGAGCCAGAACCGGGTTTAAATCTATCGACAGACAACGAAGATAGTGACCAAAGTAAGTTGGATGTAGTAATTGATATCAATGAGTTACCAATTGCTCAAAGAAAGGGAGTTAGACGATATATAACTTATCCTATTAGTAAAATTGTTGCTTATGGGAAACTAATGTCTAGTTTTAAGACTTTCACAACTCAGATTGATCATATTCATATTCCAAATACCATAGAAGAGGCATTAAAAATTCCTGAGTGGAAGAAGGCGGTTGAAGAAGAAATTTTAGCTCTAGAAAACAACAAAACCTAGGTCATTGTTGACCTACCTAAAGACAAGAAACCATTCGACTGCAAATGGGTCTTTACTATGAAATTCAAGGCAGATAGAAAAATTGAGAGATATAAGGCTAGACTTGTGGCAAAATGGTTCACTCATACTTATGGAGTTGACTATCAGGAGACCTTTGCTCCAGTTGCAAAACTCAACACTATCCGAGTTCTATTATCCTTAGCAGTGAACAAGGATTGGATACATTACCAACTGTACGTAAAAATGCATTTCTCAATGGTAATCTTGAAGAAGAGGTTTATATGCAAGTTCCACTAGGAATTCATTCAGGAAATAACCGGGTATGTAAATTACTAAAATCCTTATATTGTCTAAAATAATCACCTCGTGCTTGGTTTGATAGATTCATGAAGGTAATATTGCAAGACAACTACAAACAGTGTTAATCTGATCATACTCTATTTGTAAAAATTGCTCCTGATAAGAAGAAGTTAATCTTGATTGTCTACGTTGATGATATCATTATCATATTATCACGGGTGATGACTTGGTAGAAATCGAGAAGTTGAAGACATTACTAGCAAAAAAGTTTGAAACCAAAGATTTGGAAACTTTGAGATATTTTCTATGCATGGAGGTAGCGAGATCACGAAAAGGAATTTTCATAAATCAAAGAATGTATATTCTAGACTTACTTTCTGAAACTGGAATGACTAATTGTAAGCCCTCGGAAACTCCTATGGAAGTTAACTTAAAATTGAGTAAAGATGGAAACCTGGTAAATAAGGAACATTATCAAAGGCTAGTTGGTAAACTCATTTACCTATCTCTAACTAGACCTGACATTGTTTTTCCTATTGGCATTGTTAGTCAATACATGAATGATCCAAGAGAAAACATCTGGAGGCAGTTAATCGAATCTTAAGATATCTAAAGATGATAGCAGGACATGAGTTGATTTTAAGAAAACATGAAGAAATAAAAGTTAAAATCTTCTCAGATTCAAGTTGGGTTGGAGAACTAACAGATAGAAGGTCAACCACGGGATACTGCTCATTTGTGTGGGGAAACCTAATGACATGGAGAAGCAAGAAACAATCAGTAGTCTCTAGAAGCAATGCCGAAGCAAAATATAGGCCGTTAGCACTAATAATGTGTGAAGGAATTTGGCTACAAAGGCTCTTAATTGAACTAGAGATGCGCGACAACAACAATTTTGAACTTCAGAGTGACAACAAATCCGCGATAAGCATTGCAAAGAATCCGGTGCACCACGACAGAACAAAACATGTGGAGATCGACAGACACTTTATTGCAGAAAAAGTAAATGTCGGAACTGTGAAACTAAACTACGTCCCTTCACAAAACCAGCTAGCAAATGTATTGACCAAGGCACTTCCAAGGATTACCTTTGACGAAATTACATCCAAGTTAGGTCTTCACAATATTTACTCCCCAGCTTGAGGGGGAGTGTAAGTAGTGTTTAAGTTAAACTCTAAATCCTAACTTATCTAAAAAACTATCTCCTAATTTGTAGAAAAGATTACTCCTATCTTATCTAGGTCTCTAATTCATATATATATATATATATAAATCCCATGTATCCTCTTGTGTAATATGCAATTGTTCTTTGAATAAAAATAATTTCAGAATAAAAAACCTTGTTTACTAGAGCCGAAAAACTCTGTTTCTACACATAATTCATAAGCAATAATGGTGACTACCTTAACTGTTAGCAAAAACATAAGAGGAATGTAGAACATCACGAGTGTTAGACTTACCTTCTTGGTAAGCGACGAATAACAACATCATTAAGATCAAATGACCTATTTGTGGCACCAAGGATGAGGATTCTTTGGCTATATTTTGACCTTAATCCATCCCAAGTTGCCATAAACTCGTTTCTCGTTCTCCTAGTTACTTCATGCTCAAAACCACTTCCACGAACACCCAACAAACTATCAACCTATGATGCAAAAATTCAATTTCAAAATTTAATCCCCATCATCATGAAAAATGACTTAAAATCCTAGAGAAAAGGAAATATAACTGAAAAAGAAACCCTTGGGACCCTAACTGGTATTCATGTACATACATTCGAAAAATGGCAATTTATTCATGTGGACTTCACATAGTATTACGTGTTTTAAGAAATCAAATGCCGCCATGATTATGAACTAAAACTTTAAATGGAGCTCATGAAGCAGGTCTGTTACTCGAGTCCTTCAACCATCATGTTACATGAGGGAGGTTTATTCTGCCTAGGAACATTTTACACTCATTCACAAGAATTTTCTATATCATAATTATTTATAGTATAAAGTATGTCGTGGTTTTTTCCTTCATTTTTTCTGTCATTTACCATATAGGATTAGAGGACCTCACGGGAATGAGATTGTTTTAAACAAAGGGAAATTGGACTTTGCCATGTTATCTTTTCTCGCAAGGTATAGAGTGGCAGCATGATTTCAAAATTTCCAAAATTGTTGGTTTCTTTCGATAACTTAGTGGGGGATCTTGCATTAGCTGATCTTGTTTCGAGTTCTGAAAGGAACCCTTCAAAGTTAGTGATCTAGTCTTTGCCTCCTATCGGTTTTGTTAAAGTGAACGTGGATGGTGCTATGGACAGATTATGATTGAAGGGTGACATCGGTGGGTTGCTCAGAGATGAGAGAGGTGTGGTGTTGGTATCGTTCTCAAAAAAGTTGGTTTTGGCCCTCCTATTATGGCAGAATTATTGGCAATGAAGAGCGGGTTGATGCTTTTTTTTGGAGTCGGGGATGTCGGCAAATCGAAGGTTTATTTTGGAATCCGATAGTGATGTGGATGTGGATTGGATAAAGAATATTGCTGCCACCACTCCGTTATTCATTTCCGTAGTTCAAGATATCGTCTCGATTGTGGTTGACAAAGGTGTCATTGTTCGACATGTGTTGAGAGCAGTTAATTGGGAAGCGGATGAATTTGTTAAGCTGGGGATGTGCTAATTGGATGGGATTTATTTGTTGCATCGAGTTTATTATATTGGATTTTGTTGGCATTTTTGGTAATTGTGTATCTTTACATTTCGTTTAATGTTTTTAGGAGATAGTTTTTGAGTAGGGTATGGCCATTGATGTATTTATGTAGTGTAATGTAGCTCATTGCTGAGTTGGTTGTCAATGGGTTTGGTGGTATTGTATTCTTCTTGTACTTGGTATTTATGCAATAAAATTTTAAGGCACTTTTTTTTCTCATTCCAATGCCCGTTGAGACACTCTTGTTACTTGACAGTTATGAAGGAGGTTTTAATGAGGGCTTCCTATTTATAAAAAAAGAGTGAACGTTACTTATATCTATTCTGAGAGAGACATAATTAAATTTACAACTAATTTATTGAAGTAAAAGTTGCTAAAGGTAGATTTATGTGAATCCTTACTGCGGTTAGTCAGTATCACACCATCAGTATTTGTATGTAATAGGTCCAAACATGACAGCTTATTTTCTTCAAGAACCTACAATACAATTGTTTCATAAATAAAATTACCACAAGAAAGAAAATGTTACTATGAAGTTAACAGTAGGCCTAAGCTTCATCAGCACTCCACAACTAAAACCAATTTCTATCCATTTAAACATAAAATTGAGCATGAGAGATGTCAAATAATCAAAACGAAATTTACTGCATACCTTTTTTTTTATAAGAATAGGAGGCCTCGTTAAAAACCCCCTTCATGATTATTGGAACGCCTAAAAGAATTCCTTAAACTTCTTATTTAAAAGAGCACTTAATAAACTGAGTTTTAATATCAGGGAAGACCGAGGCAAGAACAACATTGAGAAGACTTAAACTTGATGAATAGAGAAGGGATAAAAGTGGATTCAGATAGAAAGCCAAAAATATAATCCCTACAGACATAGAATGTATACCATTCAACCAATAAACATGAGGGCTTGCAGACTCGGTGCATTTCTCATCCCTCTCTTATTTTCCTCTGTTATCAGCACTAACATCCAAAATGACAGCAACTTTGTCTCCGTTCACCTCATATACCTCGCCACAATGACCACTACATAGGGGCCTGTAGACATCAAAGATCAGTAAATATGCCACAATATCAGAACTAGGATTTTTAAAACAGGAAATATACAGCTATAACTTCAGCACATTTCCCACGAGAGAGAGATTCAAGCTTCGCGCATGAACTACCAATAAGTTTATTCTTTACTGAAAAAAAGGAACAAAAGAGAACTATGTCAGACTAGAAGAAAGAACCATAACACAGAAAACGCATTGCAGTTAGTATAACAGAGCTCACAGGCAAGATAGATAAAAGCAATCCCACAGAACTCCAGGTTTTACATAATTTGCTACCAGGAACTTTTCACCTGTTCAAACCACTAATCATATGAACAACCAACTACATACTATCCAAATGGTTTAAATAATTGAAACAAAGACCAATCAAGATGCAACCACATCAAGATATTAATACCAAGAACTCTAGGTATACATTCCTCGTTCGCATGATTAAGAAACCCCCAAGTCTATTTACAGTTGCCTAAAACTTGGAAAAGGAAAATAACTAAACCACTTCCATCCACAATTGTTGGAATGCTGAATCGGCACGATCATATTCTGCCCTTTCCCTCCATAAATGTCCTCCTATCTATTATAGAATATCCTAAGAGTTCAAGACGAATGTAGCCATAATTAAATGTCCTTGAAATGGTAAAACTTCTGAAATCAGCAGGCTTAATTGGAACTGCAAGTAAGACCTCAACTCAGTTAATCAAGGAAAAGTGAAGAAAATAAAGCAGACTGTCAAAGAAATGTATTTACATATTTTTTTTAATAAAAATCTCACTCATACTGCACTCTTTTAGAAAATTAAAGATGGGGACAAAGAAATGCCCTCATATGTAGCCAATAAAATCCATCAAATAATTAGTTCTCATCCTTTTCCTCATATGTAGCCAATAAAATCTATCAAACAATTGGCTGTCACCCTCTTCGAAGGACAAGACATAGTCAAAAAAAAGAATGTTCATATAAAATGATTTTCCATGTACACATGGTTCGCATCATGTTGTCCTTCAAACTTGGTTCTCTAGAAGGGCGGAAATTAATATGAGCACTTACTTAACCTCCTTGTTCACCATGATTTTGAAGCACGGAACAGCTGTCAATGGATTGATTATATCTAGATGAGTTTAACAGCCAAAACTATGAAGCCAGCCTACCCAGGGCCGACATTAGTATTACCTTCTCATAGATGAGTAAGCTCTTAAAGACATCACGATCTGAAACAAATAGTTTGAAGTCATCCTAATTAAGAATGAATTCAGGAGACAAAATATAAAGCTAAGACAATATTCAAGAAGTAGTCAGAAGGAGGCCAATGAATTTAAAGGACATAATGCATCGACGATAGAAACAAGCACAAACACAGATACTACTTTCTCTGACTGAAAAAATAAAAGGAATTAAAAAAATACCGCTAAAGAATGGAGAAGAGCCAAGTTTTGAATCCAAAATATCAAAAGAAAATAACCACTGACATCTTTCTAAGTTTCTAATCTAATAAAGGTTTAGATCTTTCTAGGTTAGCAAACTTTATCTACCCACCAAGAAAATTACTCGGCGTCATTTGCTCACCGGAAAACATTATGGAAGATAAAAGGACCAAAAGGATCCTAAAATGAAAACGAACCATCAGTACAAGGCATTTTTAAGAAAGCCCGGAGAACAATAGGTTTAAGATTTCTTCTTCTATACATCAGCCTGACTTACCAACCCACCTGCCTCGGATACTTGTATAAACATTAGTTGAACCATCAGGTGTTGATACCTCCCCCAAAATGATCCTGTGATGGATATGTATGTCAAAAGTCATTGGAGGGGGGAATGGAAGTTCATGGAAAGGATGAATTTTACGGGTGTCTCTAGCAGGCAGAAATCAGCTATGACTCTCCTAGAAGCATGATTATCAGCCATCATGAAATGAAAGTAACCAGTAGCTCAAACAATTTGATTTCAACAAAAATAAACAGGCAAACTTGATACTTCAAAGAAAAGAGAGAGATTCCAAAATTACAGGTCATGTCGAAAGACTTGCCAATAAGGCAGCTTATCAACAGCTGATGAACAATGAATGCTTAGTAATCTTTACATCATTTGGAACACATAGAAAACAATCATACAAAGGAAGACGCAACAGAAACAATAAAAATATAAAAATAAAAACAGGAAACTGCTGAGATATCCATCACCAACATAGTAATCGCCAAAACTGCCTACCTAGAGTTGCAGCATTTCTTCTTCAACATTTTTTAAGAAGTTACAGAATTCCAAAAGTAAAATAACAGAGTGGCATTTGACATTCTTTGCTCTTTCTTTAACAAATCAAACATAGTTGAAATTGCTAAAGTGAAGAACAAAACAGAATCTAAGAAATCTACCATATAGATGAACATGGTTAATAAAAACCAAAACAATATACAGTTAAATTAATTTATTTCTTACCTTTTGCTAGCTTCACTCTGCACATTAGGTCCAATATATTTCACACGGTCCCCTAAAAAGGAAGAAAAATTAGTTAGAGGAATGAAGAGTTAAAATAATGTGTACAGCTAAAACTGTATGAAAATTGAAAAGTAGCTATCAATATCATACACAGCCACCAGAGAGGTGGACAACTTAGGTCCAACACCAAACTAGAAAGACCAACCAACTTTGAAGTATAAGCTTAATTACACTGCCATAACCAAAAAGTAGAACAGCAAAAGCCTTACAAGATAGTTATACTAACAACTAAAAAATTTATTTCTATAGCCAAACTCCAATAGAGAAGCTACTTTCAAATGCAGTTGTTATCCATCAGAAAATTCTAATTTTTAGGGGTTAATACAACATTCATTTTCTATAGTTCTCTTTGCATCACATTTTTCTCACTGCTGATAAGTTTCCTTGAAAGATAAACTCACATGCTCAAGCATATTCAACTTACGTACTTCATCCACATACAAAGATGCATGTAAGCTCTAACAACCTAAACTTTCTTGCCGGTTTAACTTTCACAAAGATTTGTGGCAGATAGAAGAGCAAGGGAGGATAAGCGACCAATTAACAAGAGCATTACTAGATGTTAAGTATCCAACCGAAAAGAGGTTGGCAATAGTTGGAGGGTCTAACTTTTAATATAAGACCACACGAAACCCAATATTTAACAGATGTGAGATAACACTAGTTAGTATGCAACACTTCAAATATGCCCAAAAAAGAGAGAATAGTTTTTAGTAGGAGAAGACTCCTTTAACATATTTAACCAATGAGCAAAGATAACTACCAGGAATAAATAAATGAATTAATAATAACACTTCAAAAACTTGAGACATAAATGTGTTCACCCAATAACATTCGACATATCAGTGGTAAGAATTTGATTTTAATTTTCACTTTACTTGGTGAAGGAAGTTCTGAAAACCAGACCAGGGCATTCTAAAAGTGTTTTTCTATTTCTAGTGACAAGTTCCCATGGTCAAAGGTTATAGAACATCTGCACAAATGAATTCAGAGGAAAACATAAAGGAAGCAGTCATAGAGGAAAAGAACTCTGATAGATAGTTTATCATGTTCTCGTTTAAATCAAATACAACAGGAGTACAGAGGGGAAGTGATACCCTCTATTTTGAAAGCACATTTTAGAATAAATGGAAATTCCATGCGATTATTTAACAAAAAAGTTAGCATATATAGCCACCTGAAATTAGTTACCTTTCCTTAGCAGCTGCTTGGATTTATCAGCAGATTCATCAGCCTCAGATTTTGAGGATTCTGAGGAACTCTCAGATTCTCCGGAGATTCTCTGCCAAGATGTAATAACATAATCAGAAAGAACTAAAAAAAACACCACATAAAACAAGTTTTACAAATGCAAAAGAAATCAGGGACTCCATGAAAGACATAATAAATAAGATAACTAATATTTAAGTTAATTATTAATGAGCCCTTTGAACTCATTGGACAACCAACTTAAACCTTCCTTCTTAACCCCCCCCCCTTTTCACCAAGTACTATAGTCTTTCAAGCACCTGTAACTCTCGCGCCAGCGCCCTAACCATTCTCTCTCAATAAAGTTCAGTGCCTACAGAGATAGCAAGGCTTTAAAATTATTAAAATGCAAAATATATGTTCATGTGAATTCAAAGATTAGAAGGAAAAAAAGGTAAGAGTTATACAAGGAAGAATACATAGAAAAAAATAATTTGTCATTTCCATACCTGGGACACTTTGAAGCAATATTCCTCCACTCGAAGACGGCAATCGAGCACCATAAGAAGCAGTGAGCTTCTTATGTTTCAAATGTGAAGCAACACATTCAACCAAAACATTTTTGGTATTCTCACTACAGAGAAAAAAATCATAGTAAATTGATAACAACAATAAAATTTAAAAATGAAAATGGAATGCCAAGAAGAAAAAAGAAAAAAAAACTGCAAAAGCATTTACTGAATGTAATAAGGAAATGTTTCAAAAGAAACATGGATTTCTCCCAAGGCAGGACTCTGCGCAAGAACTCGTTTCTATACTTCTCACGTCTGGTCAAAAATGGTGATTCCTTCTTACTCTCTATAGAAAGTTTTTCATTATTGAGCCATTCCTTTTGATCCTGTTCCGCAAGCTGGGCATGTACATCACAAGTCTTCACATCCTTCCCTAACTTTTCCCATGTCATCTTTCCCTTATCAAAGTCAGTGCTATCATTCACAGGTCTGAAGTTATCCTCACTGGCATTCCTTCCATCACCTTTAGAGCTATACAAACGCAATTGATTGCTACTTAAACATGGAGTAGACCTTCCATACATAAATGCAGGAGCAATACGTCGAGTATATGATGAATCTAAAACACTTTTTCTAATCAAACTAACATCTGAATAACCAGTCCACACGGTATATGGACGGTTCAATGATTGATAACAAGCATGATCCTGGGAATGTGGCCTAATCAAATGTTTCCACTGTTGAAACACCAGACTCCATCTCTGGCTTCTACCCTTTATCCTCCTTGCATACATTGTAACCACCAGCTATTCTAAAAACCTGTATTGCAAAGTAAGCTTCCATAAGTTGATATGGACTCCAAATAACCATTTAACTACAAAAGATAAAGAACGAAAGAATGGTCATCATAACCATAAAATAATAATAATAATAATAAAAAACACTATCAAAGAAACATTTCCCAACTCTATTTTAAACAACTAGATTTTAATAATTTTGAAACCATTGATTGCTATTTTATCCCAATGATAAGCTACTCCAAATCCGAAACAAATTGAGAAAGAAAATAGAAAATCATTTTCCAAAAATAAGCCCCACAATAGCAAACCAAAATTAAGAACCTTTTAAGCTAACTTTTCCAAGAAAAAAAAACTTTTAAGCTGTGGGGAATTTTGGAATTTCCAGGAAAATACAACCCATCGAAGAAATAGTTTCCGAATAGAATCCTTGTAGAATAAACAAGTTAGCTTTCCGAAGTCTTCCACTTTCTAAACTTTCCCCATAACCATATGCAGGAAGATGACCAGCGCAACTTCAATAATAATAGTCAAATATAATCAAACCGGAACTTATAATCAAATTGTAAAGAAGAACGAGTTCATGCATTAAAACTACATTTACAAACCTCTCCGTTATTAATGTTAGAAGCAAAGTTAAAGCTGGGATTGTTGTCGAAATGATGAATTTTATTAACAAAAATAAATGTCATGTGTCATACAACTATTGGTTGATGAATTTTATTAACGATTCTTAAAATAATAATAGAATGAAATTGTATGTACTTTAAATGACAATGAAAGAAACGTTAGACACATGCTTTAACAAAAGAAAGTTTAGATATATTTAAAGTAAATAAAAAGTATAATTTGAGTGCTTGTTTTAGAAAAACAAAACAAAAATTTATTTAAAATGGAAGATAAAATTATTTTTTTAAAAACCAATAAGAATTTAGCTTCTCAAATCATCCTTAGACAAATCTTACACTACATATTAAATTATTCATCATCTTTACATAAACAAATAAATTCCTATTTTTTTCAAAATTCAAACAGTTTAATAGAAATAAAATCCATCGTCCAATCAATTTCTGGTAGACTCGCAGCCAATTCGTAAATTGGAATTTCACCCTTTAAAAAATTAAAGCGAAAAGTATTGAAGTCTGGCTGGTTGACCGTACAATTTAGCGTCACCGACGACAATCAGAAGCCAGGCGGCAAATATATTTACTCTTTCTGATCAATTAAAATCTGCAGTGCCACCGCCTTCGCGAGCTCTTCTCTTCGGCTCAAAATACGATCCTTCAATTCCCCACAAACTCTGTCCGCTTTACACGCAACTAAGTCCAGCTGCATGGCTTAATTCTGATTACCTCTCATACGATTGGAAAAAAATATAGAAAATATAAAAAAAATCGGAAGAATGGAATTGCCGGCGAGGGATCCGATTCTTCTCGAAGACTTCGGGCAGAAAGTGGACTTGACCCGACGGATCAGGGAGGTCCTACTGAACTATCCGGAGGGGACCACCGTGTTGAAGGAACTCATTCAGAATGCCGATGATGCCGGCGCCACCAAAGTTCGTCTCTGTCTTGACTGCCGCTCCCACGCCTCCGATTCATTGCTCTCAGATTCTTTGGCGCAGTGGCAGGGTCCATCTCTGCTTGCTTATAACGATGCAGTTTTCACAGAAGAAGATTTCGTTAGTATTTCTAGAATTGGCGGGAGTACGAAACACGGTCAGGCCTGGAAAACTGGCCGATTTGGGTAACCTCTCTGTCAGATTGCTTTTTACTAATCTTCAGCTTATTACCTCTTTTCTGCATTCTATATATTTATTTGCTTTTTGCTTTTTTCTTTTGTAATATTTTCTAGGGTTGGGTTCAATTCGGTTTATCACTTGACCGACATGCCCTCATTCGTGAGTGGCAAGTACGTAGTACTATTTGATCCTCAGGGTTTTTATCTTCCCAATGTATCAACAGCCAATCCTGGAAAAAGAATCGATTTTGTTTCTTCTTCAGCTCTTTCAATATACAATGATCAATTCCTTCCCTATTGTGTATTCGGTTGTGATATGAAAAATCCTTTCACCGGAACTTTATTCCGTTTTCCCTTGAGGAATTCTGATCAAGCTGCCCGAAGTAAGCTTTCCCGACAAGCTTATTCAGAAGATGATATTGCCTCCATGTTTTCCCAGCTTTTTGAGGAAGGGATTTTCTCGTTACTTTTTCTTAAAAGTGTATTGTGTATAGAAATGTATACATGGGATGCTGGAGAATCTGAGCCGAAAAAGCTTTTTTCGTGCTCTGTTAACTCTCCCAGTGATGAAATTATTTGGCATCGGCAGGCTCTTCTAAGATTGTCAAAATCAGTTGCTAAGAGTACAGGTAATGAGGTGGATGCGTATTCTGTTGAATTCTTGAGTGAAGTGATGGCGGGGAGTGAGTGTAGAAAAAGGATTGATACTTTTTATATAGTACAATCAATGGCTTCTGCTTCTAGCAGGATTGGTTCTTTTGCTGCTACTGCTTCCAAAGAATATGATATTCATCTTCTACCTTGGGCATCAGTTGCGGCTTGTGTATCGGACAATTCATCAGATGTAATTAGCTGTACTTAATATGTCCTTGCCATTTTGGTTGATTTTTTTGTTTTAAAGTTTTAATTTATCTTTTATCTTTTTCGTTCATCGAGATCATATGCCCTGAGTTGGTGACTTCATAATGTGTTCGCTTTGTTTTCTGGTTAGTAATAAATCTCTGAATGTATGTGGCACTGAACATTCTTGATGTGATGGCCTTGTAAGTTATGGAGTCTGACATGCTTTTGATCCTGTTTGAACTAATTTTCTCATGTATGGCACCATGGCAACTTGGACTTTCTTTCAAGGTGTTTGTTGATGTTTGCATGAAACATCTGGCAATAAGCTTATGTCTTACTAATTTTCTCATGTATGGTACCATGGTCAGGCCAGCCAAAAGGATGTTTTATAACTCGTGGGGAAATGTGACATGAAATGCATTTTCCTTATTTATGACCCTAGTTAGATTACCCAAAAACATGCTTTCGAGTTGTCTCAGCCTTGGAAGTTTATAATGTTGGAAACATCCTTCTACAATGCAACTTTATTTTACCTTAAACTTATAAGCCATTTGTAACTCACGTTTATAATATAATAAATATCCTAGTATGTTGTATACTTTTTAAAGAAATTTTTATAGAGACTTGAACTTCAATTCATAGCATTTTGTTAAGTATTGCACTGCCTATATTGTAGTTGACCAGAACCAGCACATTTTAATAGTCCATATTTAAAAAATTATGAATGCAGTGCCTTGGTGTGGAAGCATTGTATAAAATTTTGCTGGTTGTTGGAGAGTAGCTGAATTTGAATTATATTCCTAATTATTGTTTATTTAGTCTTCTGAATTCATTTTGCTATACTTGAAGATACTCTGGTTTCATCTGAGAAGATTTGGTTTATTATATTAATTTGTTAATGTTGTGGTATTCTAATTAAGTATAACTAAGTTTTAAAAACAGCAATCGAAGTGTACCATTTTGGTTTGAGTTGTTTTGCCCCTTCTACTTCAGACTTCTTACCTGTCTTACTAAAATCTTATGTTACTGTGATGCATTTTAACAGACTCTGAAGCTTGGCCAAGCTTTCTGTTTTCTTCCATTGCCAGTGAGAACTGGGTTGACAGTGCAAGTTAATGCATACTTTGAAGTCTCCTCAAACCGTCGTGGCATTTGGTATGGAGCAGACATGGACAGAAGTGGAAAAATCCGGTCCATCTGGAATAGACTTCTTTTGGAAGATGTTATAGCTCCTATTTTTATGCGAATGCTGTTGGGCGTGCAGGAACTGCTTGGTCCAACAAATTCATATTATTCTTTGTGGCCCAGGGGTTCTTTTGAAGAGCCATGGAGCATTTTGGTTGAGAACTTATACAAAAATATTGGTAATTATGCTGTTCTGTATTCTGATCTGGGAGGAGGAAAGTGGGTCTCACCGGTAGAAGCTTTTCTTCATGATGAGGAGTTTGGAAAGAGCAAGGAACTTGCTGAGACTCTCTTGCAGCTAGGAATGCCTATTGTCCATTTGCCAAATTACCTGTTTGAAATGTTTCTGAAATATGCCACCAATCTTCAGCAAAAAGTGGTTACTCCTGATACAGTACGCCATTTTCTTAGGTCATGCGAAACTCTTATGAGGTTGCGTAAATCCTTTAAACTTGTATTATTGGAATATTGTCTTGAGGACTTGATTGATGATGATGTAGGTACATATGCCCATAACCTGCCATTGATTCCTTTGGCAAATGGTGATTTTGGTGTATTTTCCGAAGCCACAAAAGGGGTTTCTTATTATGTTTGTAATGAGTTAGAATACATGTTGCTTCATCAAATTTCTGATATAATTGTTGATCGGGACATTCCCCTTAATATACTGAGCAGGCTCTCTGCTATTGCGAAGTCATCAAAAGCAAATCTTGCTGTTTTCAGTGTTCAACATTTTGTTAAATTATTTCCTAGATTTGTACCTTCTGAATGGAGATATAAAAGTAAAGTTCTCTGGGAACCAGAGTCATCTTATACTGTTCCAACTAAATCCTGGTTTGTGCTATTCTGGCAATATCTCCAGAATCAGGGTGAGGGGTTGTTGTTGTTTGGAGATTGGCCTGTTTTGCCTTCAACCTCAGGGCATCTGTATCGACCTTCTACACAGTCAAAGCTTATCAAGGCGGAGAAACTTTCTGAAAGAATGCAATGCATCCTTGTGAAGATTGGATGCAAGATACTGGACCCTGATTATGGAGTTGCACATCATGATTTGTCTCATTATGTATCTGATTCCAATTTTTCAGGTGTTTTGGAATCTATTTTTGATATTGTCTCTTCAAACGGCAGCATAATACAGACATTTAGTTGTAACTTGACAGATGAAGAGAGGAATGAGTTACGTGAGTTTCTTCTTAATTCAAAATGGTATGTGGGAGAATCTGTTAACAGTTCTAGAATAAAAAATTGCAAGAAACTGCCCATTTATAGGGTCTACACTGGAGAATCTGCTCAAAGTTTTTGTTTTTCTGACTTAGAGAATCCTCAAAAATACTTACCACCGTCAGGCATCCCCGAGTATCTTCTTGGAGGTGAATTCATTCTTTGCTCCTCAAATAGTGAAGAAGAGATTTTGTTAAGATTTTATGAAGTTGAGAGAATGCGGAAAGCTCGTTTTTACAGGCAGCAAGTGCTAAATAGAATAAAAGAAATGCATAATGAAGCTCGTGACAGTGTTATGCTTTCTATTCTTGAAAACCTGCCTCAGTTATCTGTGGAAGACACTTCTCTTCGAGATTACTTGAGAAAGTTGGAATTTGTACCTACCACTACTGGTACACTTAAATGTCCTTCAGTGCTTTATGATCCTCGCAATGAAGAATTATATGCTTTGCTAGAAGACTCTGGCTGTTTCCCCGCTGGCCCTTTCCAAGAATCTGGCATCTTGGACATGCTGCAGGGTTTGGGCCTTAGGACATCTGTAACTCCTGAAACAGTCATAGAAAGTGCTCAACAAGTTGAGCGAATAATGCATGAAGATCAGGAAAAGGCTCATTCAAGAGGTAAAATACTTCTTTCATACTTAGAAGTAAATGCAATGAAATGGCTTCCCAATCAATTAAGTGATGATCAAGGAGCTGTAAACAGAATTTTCTCACGAGCTGCAACTGCATTTAGGCCTCGCAACATGAGGTCTGACATGGAAAAGTTTTGGAATGATCTCCGTTTGATTTGCTGGTGTCCAGTGTTAGTGTCTTCTCCATTTCAGGCTTTACCATGGCCTGTTGTATCATCCAAGGTTGCTCCCCCAAAGCTTGTGAGATTGCAAGCAGACTTGTGGCTTGTTTCAGCAAGCATGCGAATACTAGATGGTGAATGCTCTTCAACAGCATTGTCCTATAACCTTGGATGGCTAACTCCTCCTGGGGGGAGTGCAATTGCCGCCCAGTTGCTTGAGCTTGGAAAAAACAATGAGATTGTGAATGACCAGGTGCTCCGGCAGGAGTTAGCTCTAGCAATGCCGAGGATATACTCTATATTAATGAATATGATTGGTTCCGATGAGATGGACATTGTAAAGGCTGTTTTGGAAGGGTGCCGTTGGATTTGGGTTGGAGATGGATTTGCAACTTCTGATGAGGTAGTTCTTGATGGTCCTCTTCATTTGACTCCTTATATACGTGTCATACCAATGGATTTAGCAGTTTTCAAGGAGTTGTTCATGGAGCTTGGAATTCGAGAGATTTTGAAGCCTTCTGATTATGCTAATATTTTAGGCAGAATGGCAGCCAGAAAAGGTTCCTCTCCACTTGATGCCGATGAAACCAGGGCAGCAATAACAATTGTTCAGCATCTTTCAGGAGTTCAGTTTCATGAAGAAAAGATCTATTTACCAGATGTATCAGCGAGGCTACAGCCTGCTAGTGATTTAGTTTATAATGATGCCCCCTGGTTTCTTGGATCTGATGAATCTGACACCTTATTTAGTGGCACATCTGCTGCAGTCCTGAATGCAAGGAGTACTCACAGATTTGTTCATGGAAACATATCAAATGAGGTTGCAGAGAAGCTTGGTGTCTGCTCACTTCGTCGAATCTTGCTTGCTGAGAGTGCTGACTCTATGAATTTGAGTTTATCTGGTGCTGCTGAAGCCTTTGGGCAGCATGAAGCCTTGACAACAAGGCTCAAACATATACTTGAGATGTATGCAGACGGACCTGGAATTCTTTTTGAGCTGGTTCAAAACGCTGAAGATGCAAGAGCTTCTGAAGTGATCTTTCTTTTGGATAAAACTCAGTATGGAACATCTTCTATTCTCTCTCCTGAAATGGCCGACTGGCAAGGCCCTGCACTTTACTGCTTTAATGATGCTGTATTTAGTCCACAAGATTTATATGCAATATCTCGTATTGGTCAGGAAAGCAAACTTGAAAAGCCTTTTGCAATTGGACGATTTGGTCTGGGCTTTAATTGTGTCTATCATTTCACAGATATTCCCACATTTGTTTCTGGGGAAAACATCGTTATGTTTGATCCTCATGCTAGTAATTTGCCAGGGATCTCTCCATCCCACCCTGGACTAAGAATAAAATTTGTTGGGAGAAAGGTTTTAGAACAGTTTCCTGATCAATTTTCTCCATTTCTATATTTTGGCTGTGACTTGCAGCAATATTTTCCTGGCACTCTATTTCGTTTTCCTCTTAGGAGTGTTAGTGTTGCATCACGTAGCCAGATTAAAAAAGAAGGATATTCCCCTGACGATGTCATGTCTCTCTTTTCTTCCTTCACCAGTGTTGTTTCAGATGCTCTACTTTTTCTTCGTAACGTGAAGTCTATCTCCATTTTTGTGAAGGAAGGAGCTGGTCATGATATGCAACTTATGCATCGTGTGCAGAGAAACTGCATTAGTGAGCCACAATTGCATTCTGATTCTTTGCATCAAATGTTTGGCCTTATTGATGCAAAACATGGTGGAATGGATAAAGAACAATTGTTGAAGAAATTGAGTAAGTCTATAGATAGAGATTTGCCACATAAATGTCAGAAGATTGTGGTGACTGAACAGAACTCATCTGGTATTGTGGCACACTGTTGGATAACTGGTGAATGTTTAGGCAGTGGACGGTCTAAAACCATCAGTGCAGTTGCTGATGACAAGATTCATAAATCGATCCCCTGGGCTTGTGTTGCTGCACATATACAGTCTGTCAAAGTGGATGGGGAAATATGTGACATATTTAGCTGGGAGAATGCTTTTTCTGGTGATATTTTTCAAAATTCTATTGCTTCCATTCAAGATAGGAAGAACATCGAGGGCCGTGCTTTCTGCTTTTTGCCATTGCCAATCAGCACTGGTCTTCCAGCCCATGTTAATGCATATTTTGAGTTGTCATCAAATCGTAGGGATATCTGGTTTGGTAATGATATGGCTGGTGGTGGGAAAAAACGGTCAGACTGGAATATTTACTTGCTTGAAGATGTTGTTGCTCCTGCATATGGTCAATTGCTTGAGAAAATTGGTTCACTGATTGGTCCCTGTGATTTGTTCTTTTCCTTTTGGCCAACAACAATGGGAGTGGAGCCATGGGCATCTGTGGTTCGGAAACTTTATATTTTCATTGCTGAGTTTGGTCTTCGCCTATTGTATACAAAAGCTAGAGGGGGTCAGTGGATTTCAACGAAACAAGCTATTTTTCCTGATTTTACCTTCCATAAAGCTCGTGAGCTTGTTGAAGCATTATGTGATGCCGGTGTACCTCTTGCAAATATTCCCAAACCAGTTGTAGAGCGATTCATGGAGGTCTGTCCATTATTACATTATCTGACACCTCAGCTTTTACGGTCTCTATTATCTAGGCGAAAACGTGCTTTAAAGGACAGGAATGCAGTGATCTTGACCCTTGAATATTGCTTGCTTGACTTAAAAATTCCCATTCAAGCTGATTGTTTGTTTGGTTTACCTTTGTTACCCCTTGCGGATGGCTCATTTACAACATTTGAGAAGAATGGAGCTGGTGAAAGAATCTATATTGCAAAGGGAGAAGAGTTTGGTCTTCTCAAGGATTTACTTCCACAACAATTGGTTTGTTGTGAGCTTTCGGAGGTGGTTCATAGCAAACTATGTGATATGGCCCAAAGTGAGCAATCAAATATTTCTTTTTTATCGTGCCATTTGCTTGAAAAGCTGTTTTTGAAGTTACTTCCAGCTGATTGGCAGCTTGCTAAAAAGGTATGCTGGGTTCCTGGTCATCAAGGCCACCCAAGTTTGGAATGGATGAAGTTGCTGTGGAGCTATCTGAATTCATGTTGTGATGACCTCTCAATATTTTCTAAGTGGCCTATACTGCCGGTTGATGACAATTATCTCTTGCAACTAGTTAAAAGTTCCAATGTGATTAAAAAGGATGGATGGAGTGAGAACATGTCTGCTTTGTTGTTAAAAGTCGGTTGTTTATTTTTAAGACAAGACATGGAAATACAACACCCACAGCTAGAACTCTTTGTTCAGTCTCCAACAGCAAGTGGAATATTAAATGCATTTCTAGCAGTGGCCAAAAATGGTAAAATGGAGAGCATTGAGAGGCTTTTCTCTGATGCATCGGACGGGGAGCTGCATGAACTCCGTAGTTATATTCTGCAGTCAAAGTGGTACCACGAAGAGCAGATAACAGACTTACATATTGACATCATTAAACATATTCCAATGTTCGAGTCATATAGAAGTAGAAAGCTAATCAGCCTAAATGAGCCTGTTAAATGGCTAAAACCCAATGGCATCCGTGAGGATATGCTAAATGATGATTTTGTGCGTGCAGAATCAGAAAGAGAGAGAATCATTCTTACAAGGTATTTGAATGTTAAAGAGCCATCAAAGGTGGAATTCTATAAAAGTTTTGTTCTTAGTCACATGTCAGAATTCCTTTCACAGCAGGGAGCTTTCCCTGCCATTTTACATGATGTAAAGATTCTAGTTGACGAAGACATCTCCATCAGATCTGCAATCTACACAACACCTTTTGTTCTAGCAGCAAATGGTTCTTGGCAACCTCCATCCAGGTTTATTCATTTATCTTATTTGTTTCCAAACAATATCTTTGATTTTCTTATCTCCTGCTGTTTGCAAGGTTTCAATTAGGTCAATTACTTAGTAATGTTACCATAGTCTATTTCTTTCCACCATTCACCTCAAACTAGGGTCTTTTGTTTCTGCAAGAAATTCAAATGTTCAATGAATCGTTTTTTTAGCACCACTTGAAGAATTCTGTGTTATCAATTTCTCACTGCTATACTCTTTTCAGGCTTTATGATCCTCGAGTCCCTGAGCTGCGAAAGTTGCTCCATAATGAAGTTTTCTTTCCTTGCGAGAAGTTCGCAGATCCTGAAACTTTAGATACTTTAGTCAGCCTTGGACTTAGAAGGACTTTGGGTTTTATTGGTTTTCTTGATTGTGCTAGATCTGTTTCTAAACTGCATGAATCTGGGGACCTAGAAGCAGCAACTTATGGTAGGAAGTTGCTTCTCTATTTAGATGCTCTTGCATGTAAGTTTTCACCTGAGAGAGGTGATGCACAACTGATCTCGGACAATCTTCCTAGTAATTGTCCAGCATCAGAAGGCAATGATAGTGAGATGCCAGGTGGCCAATTTTATCAGAATAGTGACATTGTAGATGGTGATGCAGTTTCTGTCGACTTCCCTGATAGGGAGGAAACCATTTGTAAGGATGATATAGACATTAACACTGTTATAGGCAACTTGATGGATGATATGACAGAAGAAGATTTTTGGTCTGAAATGAAAAGTATTGCTTGGTGCCCAGTTTGTGTCAACCCCCCTTTGCAAGGACTCCCATGGTTAAAACCTACTAGCCGTCTAGTATGCTCGAGCTTTGTGAGACCTAAATCACAGATGTGGATGGTGTCCTCAACTATGCATATTCTTGATGGTCAATGTAACTCATTATATGTACAAAACAGACTCGGTTGGTTGGATCAGCTGAATATACATGTTCTTTCCACACAATTAATAGAGCTGTCTAAGTCCTACTGCCATCTGAAGTTGCATTCTTTGGTGGAGCCTGATTTTGACGCTGAACTACAGCAGGGCATCCCAATGCTTTACACTAAAATGCAAGAGCATGTTGGTACTGATGATTTCATGGTGCTGAAATCAACTTTGGATGGTGTTTCCTGGGTTTGGATTGGAGATGATTTTGTTTCTCCAAATGCACTTGCATTTGATTCTCCTGTGAAATTTACCCCTTATTTATATGTTGTCCCATCAGAGCTGGCAGAATTTAGAGATTTACTCTTGGAATTAGGTGTCCGGCTTAGTTTTGATCTTTGGGACTACTTCCATGTTCTACAACGCCTACAAAATGATTTGAAGGGGCTTCCTTTATCAGCTGATCAATTGGGTTTTGTCAACTGTGTCCTTGAAGCCATTGCTGACTGTTCATCAGATAAACCTTTTTTTGAGGCTTCTAACACTCCTCTGCTAATTCCCGATTCATGTGGTGTTTTGGTGTCTGCTGGGGAACTGGTGTATAACGATGCACCTTGGATTGAAAATAGTTCCCTGGCTGGGAAATCTTTTATACATCCAAGTATCAACAATGACTTGGCAAATAGGTTGGGTGTAAAATCGCTCCGCTGTCTCTCTTTAGTGAGCGAAGATATGACCAAAGATCTGCCATGCATGGACTTTGCAAGAATAAGTGAACTTCTGTCTCATTATGGCAACAATGAATTTTTGTTGTTTGACCTACTTGAGTTGGCAGATTGCTGCAAAGCTAAGAAGCTGCACTTAATATTTGACAAGAGGGAGCATCCTCGCCAGTCTTTGCTGCAGCACAACTTAGGTAATGAATCTAGTTCTAATTTTCTAAATTTGTTGAATATGTGATATGGGGCTTTACCCCTCGAGAATAAGGAATTTGCCTTTAAATGTTTCTTTTTGTCACACTTAGGATGGGCACGGGACTCGAACCCGACAGATCCCGACCTGACCCTATTAAGTCGGGTTTTTTAAATAAAAAAAATCAGGTTAGGGTTTATGGTGAAAAATATCCGACCCAGCCTGAAAATAATGTAATTTATACTTGGGAATAATTGCAATGATACCCCTCTCTCTATATCCATATTTTATCGAATAAAATTAATATTTTTATAAATATATTTGTAAGGTGGGGCAAGTCTTGCTAAGTTAGGGATATGGTCTTTGATGAGATGTCAGCAGAGTGTTGGTCATTTTTGAGGTTGTATTTTGGTTGTGTATGGCTGTAATGAACTCTTGATGTACTTGGTATTTAAGGAATAAAATTGAGGTACTATTTTCCTCCTTCCAATGTTTGTTAAGCTATCTTCATAGCTTGATGGGTATGAAGGGGGTTTTAACGAGACGTCCCATTTTTATCAATATATATATATATATTTGTTTCGGGTTGGGTCAGGTCGGGTTTAGGTTTTATCTCAAAAGACGGGTCGGGTGAAGTCATCCTAAACTCGGGTCGGGTTTTGGGTGGAGGGTGTATTTTTTGGGTCGGTCGGGTTGGCCGGAAATCGGACCCAACCCATCGTCCTGACCCACGCCCATTCCTTGTCACACTGCTTGGAATTGGTAGATTATGCTATGGTAGATATTTTTTGTATGGTTGCAAGTGTTGTATAGATCATGGACCCCAGGGATTAAAATGAAATGTAACCTATAACACTCTTGGAAGGGTGCAACAGCTTTAGAAATCTGTCAACAAAGTCATTTGTTTCTAAAATGGCACAGGTGAAACTTTTTGTAGTAAAATTAATCAGCATCTTCTCCTTCTATGAGTTTATTGTATTTAATCTTTTGTAGTTCATTTTTGAAACAACTTGCCCAGATTTGTCTTTGGTTATCAACTGAATGATTTTCTGATTATTACTTTACTTCCCGAGTGTAGTTGAATTTCAAGGGCCTGCTTTGGTAGCTATTCTGGAAGGGGCCAGCTTGAACAGAGAGGAGATAAGTGGTCTTCAGCTGATCCCTCCATGGAGACTCCGTGCTAATACTCTAAACTATGGTTTGGGATTGCTAAGCTGTTACTTCATTTGTGATCTCCTGTCTATCATCTCTGGTGGCTATTTATATATGTTCGATCCTCATGGGGTGGCACTTTCTGCACCATCAAGTCAAGCTCCGGCAGCAAAAATGTTTTCTTTGATTGGTAACTTGGTTCTTTCTTTCATTTTCCTTTTCTCCCTTTTTATTCTTATGCTTGATTTGGTATTCCTTTGCTATCAGTTTTTTTATTTTTGTTTCGACTACCATAGGGTCATTAGTTATTGAGATAGAACAATTCTACTCATAAGCCCAAGTATATCATTTGGATGAAAATTTATGGGCTAATTTTTTCATAATGATTGGTTTAGCCTTAATGATGGCCTTTTCTTATTCCATATGCCTTCCTTTCTTAGGTCATATGCTCTCCCCAAGCTTTAGATGCTTTTCTGAAATTTTTACCATTTCGTCTTTGCCTACCTGTGCAAGCAGCTTGAAATGCATTTCTTTTTTCTTTTGCAGGTACAAGCTTGACTGAAAGATTTCGTGATCAGTTTACTCCGATGCTGATTGATCAAAAGATGCCATGGTCATCATCAGACTCTACAATCATTCGCATGCCTCTATCACCAGAATGCTTGAAAGATGGATTTGAATTAGGATTGAATAGAGTAAATAAAATAATTGACAGATTCTTGGAGCAGGCCTCAAGGATTCTTATTTTCTTAAAGTCAGTTTTGCAGGTAAAGATTTTTCACCTTTGTATTTCATCTTTTCCACTGAAAAGAAGGGACTTTTCTGGCCTAGCATTTCACTTTCCTTGTTCATTTTGCCAAGCCTCATTATTCATGAAGGAGTTTGTGGCCTGAGAAATCCAACCAGAAGTTTTAATGCTAGCTAAGCTCTTCTTTGCTAGGGACAGTAATTACTTGGCCAAGTGCCACTGCATCATTCTGGTCTATCTTTTTTATGTTAGGGAAGAAATAAGGAATTATGTGATGATATACCTGCTTCTACCATTTTCATCTGAAACATTACTCATCATCTAAATTCTAACATCCAGGTGTCAGTTTCTACATGGGAGGAAGGAAGTGCACAGCTTTGTCAGGATTATTCTGTTTTTATTGATCCATCATCAGCTATGTTGAGGAATCCATTCTCTGAAAAAAGGTGGAGGAAATTTCAAATATCCAGGTTATTTAGCAGCTCAAATCCTGCTGTTAAATTGCATGTGATTGATGTGAACTTATTCGAAAAAGGAACTAGATTTGTGGATAGATGGCTTGTTGTGCTCAGCTTGGGTTCTGGGCAGACCAGAAACATGGCTCTTGATAGGTATGCTGAAAGTAAACTGTTTCTTGGGTATTCTTATCTGATTCGTGTTTATAACTAATGTAACATTCCACTCTCCATTCTTCCCTTACTCTCTGTTGCCTGCTTAAATTATAAATACGCTGTTCTGGTTTTTTTTTTTGCAATAGTTCAAAATGTTCTCTTTATTCAGAATAAAAGAAGTTGACATATTCTCTACATTTATCCTCTTTTTCTCGGCCACTTTTCCCTAAGAAATATCAGCTGTAATCATGTTATTTGACACTGTCGTCATTTTTATTCTTAGGCGCTATTTAGCCTACAATTTGACACCTGTTGCTGGAATTGCTGCACATATATCCCGCAATGGCCATCCAACTAACGGTCATCATACGAGCTCCATTATGACTCCTCTTCCTCTGTCTGGTGTTATAACTTTGCCTGTAACTGTTCTTGGATGTTTCCTTGTGCGCCACAACAGTGGTCGTTATCTCTTTAAATACCAAAATAAATGAGGGATTTGATGAGGTGCGGCCTGATGCTGGAGATCAGTTGATTGAAGCTTGGAATAGAGAACTGATGTCCTGCGTCCGTGATTCCTACATAGAACTGGTAGTGGAAATGCAGAAATTAAGTAGAGATCCTTCAACTTCTAGTATTGATTCAAGTTCTAGTCAGGCAGTTGCTTTGTCTTTGAAGGCTTATGGAGATCAAATTTATTCCTTTTGGCCAAGGTCTACTGGTTATGTATCAAGTGATGGAGCCGATGATGATAGTAAATTATCATCAGCTGATGTGCTTAAAGCTGATTGGGAATGCCTGGTTGAACAAGTTATCAGGCCCTTCTACACTCGTTTGGTTGACCTACCAGTTTGGCAGCTGTATTCAGGAAATTTAGTCAAGGCTGAAGAAGGTATGTTTCTGTCCCAGCCTGGCAATGGGGTGGGTGGTAATTTGCTTCCTGCTACCGTTTGTAGCTTTGTAAAGGAACACTATCAGGTGTTTTCAGTTCCTTGGGAGTTGGTGAATGAAATCCATTCTGTGGGAATTACAGTTCGAGAAATTAAACCTGAAATGGTCCGTGATCGTTTGAAGGTTTCTTCTACTTCTATTGTTCTTCGATCTGTTGATACTTTTGTAGATGTTCTTGAGTACTGCTTGTCCGATATTCAGTTCCCGGCATCATCTGATTCTCATGGAGATGCTATGTTAGTAGAACCTATTAATCCAAATGCTTTTATTAGAGTCACCAATGAAGTAGGTATCGGATCTGACTCGGTACAAGTGTCTAATGTGCGAACTTATCATGGATCCTCTCAGAATGCAGCCATTTCTGGTGATGCACTTGAAATGGTAACAAATTTGGGGAAGGCTTTATTTGATTTTGGTCGAGGAGTTGTGGAGGATATTGGTAGGGCTGGAGCCTTGAGTCAAATGGATGACAGGAATGGTAATGGAGACTTGAAACTTTTATCTATAGCTGCTGAGGTCAAGCGCTTACCATGTCCAACTGCAACAAATCATTTAGCACGCTTGGGGGTGACTGAACTTTGGTTGGGAAACAAGGAGCATCAGCTGCTGATGAGGCCTTTAGCAGCAAAATTTGTCCACTCAAAAGTGTTAGATAGATCAATTTTAGCTGATATTTTTTCAAAACATGTCATTCAAACAGCACTTAAACTGAAGAGTTTCTCATTTCACTTGATGGCTACTCATATGCGATTACTTTTTCATGATATAACTGGGTCAATCATGTTATGGAGTCGAATTTGGCTCCCTGGTTTTCCTGGGAGAATTCATCAGGTTCTGGTGGTGATGGTGGTCCTTCCCCTGAATGGATTAAAACCTTTTGGAAAAGCTTTGGTCAATCATCAGAAGACCTAGATCTCTTTTCCAATTGGCCTTTAGTTCCTGCATATCTTGGTAGGCCAATTTTGTGTCGTATAAGAGACCGCCATCTGGTCTTCATTCCACCCCCAGTTACAGATCCAATGTCTGAGAATGGTGCCATGGATGCAGCTGCAAGCCAACGTGATCTGACTGGAATTTCTGTTAATCAAACTTCTGAATCTGATTCAATTCAACAGTACATTTTAGCTTTTGAAAATTTTAAAACCCATTACCCTTGGTTGGTATCATTGTTGAATCAGTGTCATATCCCTGTTTTTGACGTTGCATTCATGGATTGTGCTATCCCTTGCAACTTGCTTCCTGCATCCAGCCAATCATTAGGGCAGGTTATTGCCTCCAAGCTTGTGGCAACTAAACGTGCTGGCTTTTTCCCTGAACTCACATTGTTTTCTGCTGCTGATCGAGATGAACTTCTTAATCTTTTTGCTCTCGATTTCTCTAACAATTTGTCCAGATATGGAAGAGATGAACTTGAAGTGTTGTGCTCATTGCCCATCTACAGAACAGTTTTGGGTTCATTCACAGGATTAAAAACCAAGGGATCCCTCAGTTGCATGATCAACAAATTCTGGTAAGGTTTGGTCTGCCTCGTTTCGAAGAGAAACCTCAGAGTGAACAAGAAGATATACTGATTTATCTTTATGCGAATTGGCAAGAACTCAAAGCTGATTCTTCTGTAGTTGAAGCTCTAAGGGAAACTAAGTTTGTTCGGAATGCTGATGAATTTTCTTCTGATGTATACAAGCCAAAGGATTTGTTTGATCCTGGGGATGCTTTACTAGCATCAGTATTTTCAGGTGAGAGGAAGAAATTTCCGGGTGAAAGGTTTAGTACAGATGGGTGGCTCTGTATTCTACGGAAGGTGGGCCTTCGAACTGCTTCAGAATCTGATGTGATACTTGAATGTGCCAAAAGGATAGAGTTTCTTGGAAGTGAGTGCATGAAGTCTACTGGGGATTTTGATGATTTTGAGACGGATATGACCCCTTGTCATGGTGAAGTCTCTATGGAAGTGTGGACTTTGGCTGGATCTGTTATTGAAGCTGTGCTCACAAACTTTGCTGTCCTTTATGGAAATAACTTCTGTAATCTTCTAGGGAATATCGCTTGCGTTCCTTCTGAATTAGGATTACCTAATGCGGGTGTGAAGAGAGTCCTTGCTTCCTATAGTGACGCTATTCTACCAAAGGACTGGCCTCTGGCTTGGAGCTGTGCTCCTATACTCTCTAGACAAAATGTTATTCCTCCTGAATATTCATGGGGGGCACTGCACTTGAGGAGTCCTCCATCCTTTTCCTCTGTACTAAAACATCTGCAGGTATGAAACTTCATCTTCCCCTTGTTTTTATCCGATTGCGCTTGCATGCCAACAATACAATTGAAAAGAATTTGACTCAGATTATCGGGAAAAATGGTGGTGAAGACACTCTTGCTCACTGGCCTACTGCATCAGGCATGATGACCATTGATGATGCTTCTCTCGAAGTTTTGAAATATTTGGATAAAATATGGGGTTCTCTATCTTCTTCAGGTTGCTACGTTCTTCTGCTGTAAAGTATCTCTACAATGGAAAGGATTTATAGCAATTTCTTTATTTTCTTTTAAAACATCACTATATTTATATATTTTTTAATTATAGCAATTTGGTTGGTAATAACTGTACTGCCCCTCTTTTTTTCATACCAACATAATTATACTACTTATAAGTTCATTGAACCTTGGTTTCTGTAAGTTTACCTTTTGTACATCACAGTGGTGGAAGTACATGGTTAGACGTGGACTAAAATTATGAAAGTTTCGTTTATGCAGATATAGTAAAGCTGCAAGGAGTGGCATTTCTGCCTGCTGCGAACGGAACACGCCTAGTGCCTGCTAACTCTCTTTTTGCACGTTTGACAATTAATTTGGCACCGTTTGCTTTTGAGCTTCCTTCTCTCTATCTTCCTTTTCTGAAGGTTCTCAAGTATTTAGGACTTCAGGATGTGCTATCAGTTGCTTCTGCAAAAGAGCTTCTGTTAAATTTGCAGCAAGCATGTGGATATCAGCGGTTAAATCCAAATGAACTCCGTGCTGTAATGGAAATACTATATTTTGTCTGTGACGGAACTGTTGAGGCAAAAATGCTTGATAGGCTTGACTGGAAATCAGATGCTATAATCCCAGATGATGGTTGCAGACTCGTTCATGCAAAAACGTGTGTCTACATTGATTCATATGGCTCTAGATATGTTAAGCATATTGACACTTCTAAGTTAAGATTTGTTCACCCAAATATTCCTGAGAGAATATGCACATTCTTAGGCATCAAAAAGCTGTCTGACATTGTCGTGGAGGTATTCTGATCTCGTTCTGTTGGCCTTTTTAGTGATATTTTTATAGTATCCTACTATTAGAATATTAGAGCATGTGTTCACTAAATTTATATTCTTGTGCTTGCAGAAACTTGATAATGAAGGCAATTTAGAGACTTTAGATAGTATAGGTTCTATCTCATTAGCTATTATCAGAGAGAAGCTGTTGAGCAGATCCTTCCAGTGTGCTGTTTGTACTCTTATAAATAGTATAACTGGTTATGTTCCAGGAATTAAAAATATGGATTTGGGAACTATGTATAGTTCTCTAGAATTTATTGCAGACAAGTTGCAGTTTGTTAAGTGCCTTCATACCCGTTTCTGGCTGCTATCAAGGTCTCAAGATATTACACTTGTATCTAAAGATTCTATAATTCCAGGGTGGGAGAATGGGTCTAGACATCGGACTCTTTACTTTGTCAACCAGTCTAAAGGCTGTGTTTTGGTTGCTGAGCCTCCAGCTTATATCTCTGTTCTTGATGTTGTTGCGACTGTTGTAAGCCAGGTTTTAGGATCCCCCATTCCATTGCCTATAGGATCTTTGTTTTCATGTCCTGAAGGATCCGAGGCTGCAATTATTGACATTCTGAAACTTCATTCTGACAAGAGAGAAGAAATTGAAACCACTAGTAGCAATTTGATGGGCAAAGAGATAATGCCTCAAGATGCTCTTCAAGTGCAGCTTCACCCATTGAGGCCATTTTATAGGGGAGAAATAGTAGCTTGGCGGGCTCAAGATGGAGAGAAGTTGAAATATGGTAGAGTTCCAGAGGATGTCAGACCTTCAGCAGGCCAAGCCCTCTATAGATTCAAGGTAGAAATAGTACCAGGAAGGACTGAATCTCTTCTTTCCTCTCAGGTTTTCTCATTTAGAAGTGTATCAATGGGAAGCAGTGCATCCTCTGCCACCTTGCCTGAGGATAATCCCGTTGTAACTGGCAACAGGACTCACGAGATGCCAGAAAGTTCTGAAAGAGGCGTAAGAAGATCTTCTCAGGTTCGGATCTTTGACTTGCTATCTTCAGTATCAATTTGCTCTTGTGATGCTTGAAATATGATTATGACTCTTGATTAGCTCATCTGATTACATAAAACCATTTGGTTTTGTTCTAGTATTGGTTCATTTATGTCCCTTAAGTAATATAGCGACTTCTTGAGGATACTGAATTTGAGTACTCCTGCTGAAGGAGTTGCCAGCCATTAGTTAACTGATACTGAAATTATATGGGATTTAAGCAAAGTATATCCTTGTTCATGGTAATCATTAGCGGTAAAGGACTTTACTGTACTGTTGAGGCAAAATTATATCCTTGTTCATGGTAATCATTAGCAGTATCATTCTGCAAAGATACCTTCAGTATCATAGTTGCCAGCAATTTCTGAATTAATTTAGATATCTTAGCGCTATTTCTGAATTAATTTAGATAAGTCTGATATCAAATGGGATTTAAGCAAATTATATCCTTGTTCATGGTAATCATTAGCAGTAAAGGACTTCACTGTACTATTTTAACGTATATCAGCAACTAATCAGGTGTTCTAAATCTTTATTGCAGCCTATTAAAGAGCTGCAGTACGGCCGAGTGTCGGCTGCAGAACTGGTTCAGGCGGTTAATGAGATGCTGTCTGCAGCTGGAATCAACATGGATGTGGAGAAGCAATCACTACTGCAGCAAACTATAACGCTTCAAGAACAATTAAAAGAATCCCGAACAGCCCTCTTGCTTGAACAGGTTCAATTTTTGCTATGATAAAATGGCTTTGCAAATTTCAGCATCACTGTTTTTGTCCATTGAGCCTCACTGTTTTGTCCACCTATAGTGTGAACACTTGTAAATCCTGTCGAACTTTAGTACACAGTCAATGTAGGATTTACGGTTCGATCATGATATGCTGCTGCTGACATGTGCTCAAGTCCTACTAGTAGTATTTAATGTTAACGACCCGTCCTGCAGGAAAAGGTTGATGTAGCTGTAAAAGAAGCTGATACAGCAAAAGCAGCATGGCTTTGCCGGGTCTGTTTGAGCAATGAAGTTGACATGACAATAGCTCCTTGTGGCCATGTGCTTTGCCGTAGATGCTCATCTGCAGTTTCACGGTGTCCATTCTGTCGGATCGAGGTAAAGAAAACGATAAGAATATACCGGCCATGACAAGCTTGAGTTCTTTAACAAGTTATTCTGGATTTATACCCTCGACTCGTATAAAATACATGTGTCCATTACATATTTGGTTTCTCACCCTTCGATCTGATATCGAAGGCACATAATGAGGGAGATTCATAAACACAGCTGCGATAGCTCAGTTGTCAGATTTATTAGGGAATTTCCTCCACTGAATACGTTGTGTTGTATTAAATATCTATGTTTGTAGTCTTTTTCTGTGTATGATTTCACAGACCCCTTTACCTGCATAATTCTTAAATCCTCCTATCAAATGACATTAATATAGTCTGAAATTCTAAATGTTAAAGTGACTTCATTGAACGTGCAAGATGGACATATATTTTTGTTATACCTACAATTCGCTAACCTTGGATGGAGAAAGTACTCCCAATCTATTGTCATCTTTGGTGAACTCGGATCACCTGTGATCTCATAACCACCTCGTAGATGTAGTGTTACTTGCTAGGGGAAACTAATAATGAAAAAAAAAAATCTTTATTCAAGGAAACATAATACAAGTTCTAGATAAATGAAGTAAATTTTTAACATCTAATCCAAGAATAAATTATAATTATATAAAATATTTATATTAATTATATCTTGTAACAGCCTTTCTCAAATTGAGCATATTAATAATCGAGTCTAATTCGTTACAAAAATAAATAACTTAATTGTGAAACATAACAAGTGTAAAAGGGAGTCGTTCTTTTTAAAGATTTTAGGTTCAAGTAATTATATCTGGAAGGTGTATTGCTAACTGATTAAAAGATATTCTAAATAGATTTTATTTCGTAATCATCTTGAAATTATTAAAAGTAATAATTTAATTGTAATTCATCGTTTCTATGAATAAATTAATCTCCTGTCTTGACATTTATCTAGAAATTATGTTGTTGAGAACATTTTTACGAATAAAATGATAATTTTAATATATTTATTTATTTTTTGACAGATTAAATCTGACGTAATATGAATATTACAATAAATCCACTGAGGATGAATGTTACAATAAATTTTCGACCAATTTCAGTGTTTAAAGAGAAAATAACCTGAGTTTGCACTCTTCGCCATTATCGGAGGCAGTTTCATCGAATCGAACATCCCATTTCCCGGCTCGATACTCTTTGGTGTGGCTATCAAGGATGGCGTTGATTCGCAATCATTTTAGGAAACTAGTGTGGGAAATTGAGCAATTTTAACTTGGGAGTTGAAATCTATTCAAATATCCCATTGTTTTATTATTATTATATCGCTTATAGTTTGACGAGGAATTGACAAATTATTGTTGTTGTTGTTATGGTTGTGGAATAATCAGGTGGCAGCCGGAAAAAAAGATAAATGGTCTGGCTACAGATCGTCAAATGTTTGCTCTTAAGTCCTTTTCGGATCCCTTTAACAGGACGTCCACCACCGCTGAGCCTGTCAATTGGTTCCGATACACTGAGGTATAAACCCCAGCACGACATTTGCTTCCAGATTTACTCAACTCGTTCTGCTCTTCGATACAGAAGGCGAGTCCTAGAAGGGACTCATTCTGAACTTCAATAAAAAAGGCGGCTCCTAGAAGGGTCTCCCCAGCAATCCTTAAAACAACAGAGAAAGAATGTACGAAGGTTTTCAGATGCTGGCATACAGGAAAGGAGAAGCTAATTATCTGGACGGTTCATTTTTTAAACCCTCAGCTTCCAACCCACCCTTAGCAGTTCACCAGAATATTAGAAGCATAACCAATGGATTTTATGAGATAGCAAATGAATTGTCCGCTGAAGATGCTAAAGATGAGAAACTGATCCAGAGACGGCAGAACCTAGAGGCTGACTTTACTCATATCTCTGAAAGGCTGTTGGAGGATAACACCGGTGGTGGAGGACTTACAACAATAATAGCAAAAGTGCTTGTGATATGTAAAGCAGCTAACCATACTAATACAGGGGCTGACACTAAGTTTACCGGGTTCAATCCTACACGAACAGGTCTAGGGGTTGCTAGATTCTCTATAGTGAGGAAGACAAAGTACATCGAGCTTGCAGGATCAGGACAGTTGTAGTTTGTCATCCCTCTGGCCAACTGCATCCAAATGGAGTTTTAAGCTTGATTTTCAAGCAGTTTCAACAGTAGGCGTTACAATACCTATTTTTTATAGATTGCCGAAACCGATGGCCACTTGTAAAAACAAAGTCCCGCTTGATTAGCTTCCCTTGCCTCGCCTTCCCTTCCTATCAAATCATTTTCCCATTTACAGATCAAAGCTAAACTAAAGTTGTGAGGCCTCCAATTGACAGCAAGCTCTTTCAATAATAACACCAGCAGTCATAGCCCATAGCCTTGAAATTCGATGAAATGTCTAAAAGTAGAGGCCACTTTTGTATCCCTATGATTATAATCAGGGATAACTTGGGTATAAAAGAGTTTCAAAGAAAATGAAAAAAAAGAAAATATAAACCCCAAAAGAATGGGGCAGAAAAAGAGACAAACGTCACCAAGAACTGAGATTAGTGTCGAGATCTGTCATGCCAAGAGCCAACCATCCGCATTTAGCCCTAAAGGAAAATGTAGATAAATAACTGAGTTGGCATCGTACAGTTTGTGATGTTGCTTGGTTGAGTCTAATTTCAAAAACTCAAATATAACAAACACACTGGCCTTATAGCTGCTTCAATATGTTTTTTTTCCACATAGAACCCTAAGAAGCTAAGAAACTCAAGCTATCTTAGTAACTAACATATATCCTACCGTATGATGACCTTGAAAGATCTCCCAAGTACCAACATGGTGTCTACATTGTTAGACATCAAATTTCATTTTCTATGCCAATCAAGATTAGTTAGCAAACGTTAGCTTATTTACACTTGGGATATCAAAACAAGACAACCATCACCATAGCCTCATAGCTAAAGAATTTAGCCATGCATCAATTATAGAAAGTAACATCCGCTCATGTCTACATTTCCACAAGTCCACATCCCTAAAAGATACTCAAATAAAAACCTTTGCCGGCAAAACTTTATGCATATGATTTAAAAAATGTACCGACTGAAATATTAGCTAGCAAGCTCCCGAAGTCTCGAAAATTAATTCCAGAAGCATCAAATGAGTCCACAACTAGAAAAACAGATAACCATGAGAATGAAGAATAGCAACAATTAATCAAGAAAGAGCTTACTGCCTCTAATCCTAATTGGACCCTTTAACGTTGCTGTCTCTGCTATCTTTGGTTTCATTACCAACAGCATCTGCGACCAGAGCCATTGGCCTTTGATCAATAACTTCATCAATCAACCCAAAATCTTTAGCCTCTTCAGGAGTCATAAAATAATCCCTGTCCATATGCTTCTGAATTACATCAATGGGTTGGCCTGTATGCTTAGAATACAAAGCATTCAATGCATCCCAAACACGAACAATCTGCTTAGTGTGGATAGTCATATCTTTAGCCTGGCCACTGTATCCACCAGAAGGTTGGTGAACCATGATGGTGGCATTGGGGAGGGACCGCCTTTCACCCTTTGCTCCCGCAGCTAAAAGGAGAGAACCCATGGATGCAGCTTGCCCCAAACAGATTGTGTTGACCGGAGACTTAATGTACTGCATCGTATCATAAATTGCAAGACCTGCACCAAGAACAATACTGACAAGATTATCGAGAATATTGACAGATTTGGGCAATATTCGAAATTGGAAAGAGGGTTAAAAAGGGAAAGACCTGCAGTGACTTGGCCGCCGGGGGAGTTGAGGTACATGTGGATAGGTTTGGATGGGTTTTCGGATTCGAGGAAGAGGAGCTGGGCGACAACGACGTGGGCGGTGTCGTCGTTGATGGATCCGTTGATGCATACGATCCTTTCCTTGAGGAGACGAGAGAAAATGTCGTAAGCTCTCTCGCCGCGGGAAGAGTGTTCGATCACCATCGGTATCAGGCTGTAGTTTCGGGTGTAGGAACGGGAAATCGTGGGGGCGACGGCTGTGGTGCAAGAAATGAGGCGTTTGGTGCTTGGAATTAGGAACGTCATGGCTGCCTCTAACAGGAAATCTGGCTAGGGACTTTGTAAAACGGGAAAGGAACAATGCCCAAATTAAAATGGCTAGGGATTTTGAACCCTTTGGTTGTAAGAATAGATCTAATGCTCTTGCACCAGCTGCTCGTGGATTATATGTAACATTAACAACAAAACCTTATTTTCGTATGTAATGGGTGAAGAGAGATACGGAAGTAGTCTGTCTCCAACGACAGGTTGAAAGTAGCTTCCGTGAAACACCTCCAACAGTGAACAAATTAAAAATAAAGATAAAATACAATGCATGTATAAATAAATAAATAAATACATAGTTGAACAATCTTTATATGTATTTTTTGTATGCGCGTCTGTAATGGGAAGTAATCTCTGCAAATAAATTTTTACGTAAAAATCTCTGCATATAAACAAAACCGGCTAAATTTAAAAAGAAGAAAAATAAAGAGAAGAATACAAAGAAGTTAGCGATAGCAAGCTACAAGATGGAATATAGTCAAATGGGTTAAAACCTAAATTAAGGCAACACTACTCTGCTACCCTAGTTCTAAGCCTTCATAAATTTCAATAATAGAAACGTATAAAAAGTAGAAGTCATGGAAATTACTACAATGGCATTAAAAGAAGACAGAGATGTTACACCCTATGGTTGTGACCCACACTACTCAGCTACCCTGGTCTTAAGTCTCCATACTTTCCTATCAGAGGTCATGTCCTCGGTAAGGGCTAAATCCTTCAAATCAGATCTCAAGCAGTTTACCCACTTCCTCATTGGTATTTCTCTCCTTCTGGCACCGTCGACTGTAATCGACTCTAACCTCCTGACCACATCTGACGGTTGTCCTAAGAACGTGCCCAAACCACCGTAGTCTTCCCTCCCTCAATTTTTTGGATACATGAACCACCCCCAAGGACATCATAATTGCAGAGTTTGGTGTCATGTCCCACAGAGTCTTATCACATGCCCATCGAAGCATTGTCATTTCTGCTACCTCCATCCTCCTTACATGATCCTTCTTGATTGTCCAACATTCTGATCCATACAACAGCGCTGGTCTTATTGCCATTCTATAAAATTTTCCCTTAAGTTTTAGAGGCACCTTCTTGTCACACAAAACTCCAGTATCAGCCCTCCACTTTAGCCATCCCGCCTTTATACGGTGTGTAACGTCATCATCTACACCCCTATCTTTACGTATCATAGACCCTAGGTACTTAAAACAATCCTTTGAGGGGAGAACATGTCCTTCTATGAACATCTTTAACGTTTTGGTACCCACTGAAGTTTGAACATAAATACTCTGTCTTTTCAATATTGATCCTTAGACTTTTTTCTTCCAAAGCAGTCTTCCAAGTAGCCAGTCTACTATTCAGCTTGGTTTTTGTTTCAGCAACTAGGACAATATCGTCAGCGAAAAGCATACACCATGGAACACCGTCTGGAGTCGCACAATAGATGTCGTTCATAATCAAGGTGAAGATATAAGGGCTAAGAGATGACCCCTGGTGGAGTCCGATTTCCACCGGGAATGTCTCGGTGTCGCCAACTGTGGTCCTGACGTATGTAGTAGATCTATAGTACATATCACGAATCACCCGAATATATGCAGTTGGGATCCGTCTCGTTTCCAAGGTCTTCCAGATCGTATAGCGGGGCACGCTATCATACGTCTTCTCGAGGTCAATGAACGCCATGTGAATATCTCTATTTTTTCCCTATATTTCTCTATAAGCCGTCGAAGTAGATGAATCGCCTTCGTAGTAGACCTGCCTGGCATAAAGCCAAATTGGTTTTCTAAAACCCTAGTAACCTGTCTCAACCTAACCTCTATCACCATTTCCCATAGCTTTATGGTATGACTGAGTAGTTTAATACCTCTGTAGTTACCACAACGTTGGGGATCTCTTTTATTCTTATAGATTGGTATCATCGTAGACTCTCTTCACTCCTCTGACATCTTGACAGTCTCTATAATAATATTAAAGATATTGGTCAACCACTTAACTCCCTCTTCTCCTAGGGCCAACCACACAGTGATAGGAATTTGATCTGGACCGACAGCTTTGTCCATCCCCATATTTCTAAGAGTCATTTTAACTTCCTCAATCCTAATCCTACTTGTAGGGCAGTCATTGGCCGAAGTATGATGGTCGGCAATCATTATCTGTTACCGATTTTCATTTTGCTTTCTTATTTCTTTTCAAATTAGATTTTCTATAAAATTCACTTAAAATCAACAATTTTATTTCAAGATCTGATGTTCTAATGCTCTGATTTCCTCCAACAATCGTCATATCAAATTAATTTTAATATATATTGTTTGTCTTCTCAAAAAAAGTTTCTTGAAATATCGATTTTTGAACAAAAACTCCAAACTCTTAAAATCTAAAAAAATCCTCTAAATCATTAAATCGATAAAGTGATAAAAGACTATAAAACAAATTCATTAATGTCAAAGTCATAAAATACGTCACAAAATGTCAGTATCTTAAAACTAATTAAAAGGACAAGTTTCAATGAAGAATACAATCATATGAAATAAATAAAAAAATGACTGTTACATCATTACCTTATTCGATAATGTTTAGTAGTGACTTTAGTTAAACCCAATATTACGATGGAATCAATTTAAAATTTAATGATATACAAACCATAAATTTAATGACATTTAAATTAGTTTATACTTATTTTAAAATATTCAAATCTTATACACCATATTTCATTAATTTACATGTATATTCTGAATTCTTCGATTAGCACTAAATATGTAAGAATAACTCTTTGATATACCTACCGATATTAAGCTTGTTTGATTAAATCAGTTATAACAATAAAAATTTATCAATTATAGCAACAATGATAGCAAACGATACCCCATAGATACTTAAAGAACACCAAATTCCTCTGAAACACAACGCGACAGAAATCTTAAAACCAAACATCAACTAGAACTCCAAAAGTCTTACAGTTCCCAACAAAACATATGATCTGACATGATAACATTTAGAAAAGAGATGTTCCCTTCCCTTTCTTGTCTCCACCGATTTCAAAGTGCTTGCACCTCTGCAAAAACACACCCACAAATTAGCTCATGAATAAAAAAACAATGGTGTGCAAGGGATTTTTCGACGACACTAACCTTGATCGGATGCTGGGAGACATGCTTGCAACCTTGGCATTGAAGCCTCAGCACAATCTTCTTGGTGGTCTTGGCCTATTCAAACCAATGAGCACTTTAGTATATATACATATTGCTCGGAAACACCAATAATCAGAATTTAACTAAACATCCCAGTACTTACTAGTATCAGAAGATATTGAATAAGATTCTTGATGTTTTGGTTATATGACTAACAATATACCAAATGCTTGGAGCTTTGGGAAATAGCAATTAATCAGAAGAAAAAAATGAATTAACTAAACATCCCTTACTAACTAGTATCATAAAATACAGCATAAGATTCTTAAAATTTACATTACATACCTAAACATATATAAAATGTATTTGGTCCGGTTTGGTTTTTTAATAGAAGATAAACCAAACCGCATTGTGCGGTTTCTAAAAATGAAACTGAAACAGAATGACATAAAAAATGAAATTTTCGATTTGGTTCAGTGTTACGGTTCTTAATTGTTCACTATTTTTTCAAACTCAACATCTAAAGAAAGCAAGTTCAAGCTTAAAGAGAGTGCCAACACACAAGTTTAAATTCACCCAAAAAAAAGTTATTAGTTTTAAGATATTATTTTGCTAAGTTTGTCTTATAGCAAAATAGAAAAGAATTTGATTTGAATCATTATTTTTTTTCCTTTTAAATTTGGTTTGATTTGGAACAAACAAGTTCCATACGAAAACAAACGAAACGAAACCAAATTGTGAAGTTATACGTCGAAATCAAACCACAAAATGCTCCGTTTCATTGCACATCCCTAATATATATAATGCTGGGGACCCTCAAGATATAGCAATAATCAGAGAGGCAAAATGAATTGAGTAATCACCCTTCACAAACTATAATCGGAAGATATAGCATAAGATTCTTGATCTTTTGTTATTTAAGTAAATACCAGCCAAGTAATAAAAGATTGAGTGATAAGGAATTACTTTCTTGTGGAACACCGGCTTGGTCTGGCCACCATAACCTGATTGTTTGCGATCGTAACGGCGCTTCCCTTGAGCAGCCAAACTATCCTTACCCTTCTTGTACTGTGTGACCTTGTGCAAGGTGTGCTTCCTGCACTCCTTGCTCTTGCAGTACGTCTTTTTCGTCTTAGGTACGTTCACCTGCAACACCACACCCAGTAAAGCGTATCCTCAAAACAAAATCGAAAATTAATAAATTTAGCAACCCATTTCCTAGATGAAGACGTTCATCGACAAAAAACAGTTCAGCATCGGACGAAACTAACCCTTACTTTGCAACCTCATCACCTAATTTCACATTAGGATTTGAGAGTCCCCCCAATGCTAAAGTAATATATACTGATTTGATAGATCCAAAATAGATGCAGAAAAGATAAAGTAAAATAAGGAAAAAGATATAATGAGAGTACCATGGCTGCTGCTGAGGATGAGAATACCGGAGCTCTATTTAGGCGAGGATGGTAAATCAGGAGGCCGCCATTCTAAGTTCTAACCTTCATATATACTGATTTATCATTCTAGGGTTTTTTAGGGTTTCATTTTTCAGGTTGGGTTTTGGGTTAAATGGAAACTGAAGCCCAATTGTTCTTGATCATGCTTAGATTTACGCACTCTTATAGACCCAAAACGAACTTTAACCCAGGGAAGGCAACATTGTATATGGCATAAGAACTAGGGTTTCATTGCCAATTATTAAAAAATAAAATGATAAATAACATAAAATCATTTGAACGATTCAAAAAATATAAACTATACCTCAAATAAATAATAATAATTCAAAATAAATAATTTTTACTTTATGTAATTAAATCATATGAACAATGAAAGATTATAAAACGAAATTAATTCATTGTTAAATCATATATTAAAATATATTAAAACATAAAGAACACGCATACCGCGAGCTTCGATGATCCAGGTATACGTATATCGAAGAAATTGGGTTGAAGCAGCCATTGATGATCAACAAATAGAAGCTACGGCGTTCAAAATTTACCTCAATACAATAATGCTAAGGGTAAACTACATATTTAGTATTTAAACTCTTATTTTTATTCTATTTCGGTACCTAAACTTTTTTAAATTGCATCTAACGTTTAATTTAGGTTCATTTTGATATCATGATGTTAAAAATTTAACAGTGATATTAACGTATCACCATAAGAAAATGTCGTGTCATCATTGAAAAAAAATAAAAATAAAGTATCACGTAAGTAATTTTTTAATTTTTAACAATAGATATCAAATTAAAACTTAAACTAAACATTAAGCATGATTTTGGAAAAAAATAAAATTTAATTATTAAAATAGAATAAAAATAATAGTTTAGATATTAAATATGTAGTGTATCTTAATAATAATGATGAGGATGGAAACATCAAGTTTCAAATGGATGGTCATGGAAATTACATTGGATGTCAACAATAGTAAATTTGTTTAATTTGACCATAGAGATCAAATATTATAAAATTACTCCTATTTAAATTAATATTATTATTGTTGTAGCGTCTTATTATATTTAATCTAATAAAATTAAGTGTGAAAAATAATAAAATCAAATCTTTGAATAATGTAGACTGTTTTTCTATTACATTATGTCGTTAATGTTAGGTGATAGCCGAACGAGACGAGTAATGCTGACCGCCATGATTGACATACGCAAGTCGAAATTGGGAGAAATTACTATATGGATTCGATTCATTATATTACTTATATTATCAGCTACTAAGATTCATCTATTTCAAAATTAACTTTTAAATTACTCATTTCTTATTTATATGTAAGAAACGAGTGAAGATTTTCTTTGAAAAAGAATGAAAAGAATGAATATTGTTGACCGGAAATATATATATAACGTGATTAGCTAAATCTATCTAATATTTTTTTTCAAATTCAGAGTCAACCATTTCCCACGTGTTTTACACCAAAAATCACGTGACATGCCCAACAGCCAATTAAACAAAATAACACTCGTTTAGAAAGAATAAAGGATAAATTACATTTTTTTATATAATAAATCAATTTCCGATTAATCGATCTATCTGAATCGGATACTGCAGAGGTAAATGATAATCTTTAGAGGTTATTAAATTATATTTAAATAATTATTTTAGACATTAAAATTTTAAAAGTATAAAATAATTTTTCAATTATATCAAAATATTAGTATAAATAATATTTAAAATTTATTAAATTATTATAAAAAATCACCAAATTTATTGAAATTGTGCAAGTATTTATAAATTACTGATATTATATTATAATAAACTAATCAATTTAATGATTATTTTATAATTTTAAAAGTTTAATAACTAAAACAACTATTTAATTATAATTCAACAACCTCTTATGTATAATTTACCTAATAATAAAAATCTACGCATATTTTTTATAAACCAAAATAATATTCAACCTATTGATTGATTATCTATATTGAGTACTGCATAGGTCCATTATAAAAGCAAGCAGTCCTCTCAAACCAACTACTACATTCATGATATCAAGATTCGAAATTCGAACATTTCACAAAAAATCGAATGGTTCATTCCACTGTATCTACTCGTAAATGAAAAAAAATCCTTGAACATAGGCCCACAGTACTATTTTATATAATTATTTAAAAATTTTAATAAATCTTAAAATCCAAGAGTCTGACTTCCATTATTTTACTAATAAACTAAACAAGCTGACTATTAATATTTCGTCGCAAATAACTTACACAAAATGCCCCTCGGGCTCACTTTAGCAAAACGAGTAGAGTTACATCTAACATGCACGTGATCAAAAGCAAATTGTACAAGGATTTCACAAGGTAAATGGGTGGTTCCTCTGGAGCAACCCTTCCAGCACCACCTTCTTCTTATACTCCGACGAGTTCAAATATAAATCGTTGGAGTTCACGGTTCTTTCAACGGTGCTTTTTTACTGTTACTTCTGGTTCGGAAATGAGGGCAAACATATAACCATGCCGACGTACAAAGAATGGCGCATAATCGACCCCAAAGTACCGTTGTTATCAAGGTCACCATGATGATAGATATACTCATCACCGACTCGAATCTCGCGATTGATTTGTTGTTTTTCTGTCCGAGGCTGATCGGATCATGAATCCGGGGACTCCCCGCCCGTTGACTCCGTTCTGGAACCGGTAACGACACCGTATGGGACAACCTGGTTGGTGTTTTTTTATGTTTGATCATCGGTGAACCCGGTAGGCTTGACCCCGTTCTCGTCGGCTCCGACGACGATCCCTTTGGCGCCCTCGACTGAAACAGTGAAATCCATGAGTAGAAACGTACGCTGATCGCTTTTTTAGCCTACATAATAATGCAGTAAAGAGATGAAATAAGCTTATTAATTAGGGCTTCATTTAAAGTTCCCACACTATTAAACAAACCTCTTTAGGTGTTTCTCGTGCAACTTGATCGGTGAACGGCGGTCTCCGGTGGTCACCTTTGGAATTCCCACGTGAAGGTTTATGAGGTTTAGAGGAAGAATTGTTGCTATCTGGTTTCTTCTTCGTCTTGCTATGATCGGCCTCGGCTTTGTCTGTGTTATTTACAGGCACCATTTTGGTGCTAGACTTCCTCGAGCTTAACCGAAACCTTGGCCAAGAAACCGAAAGGGTGTTCTTTTTCTGGGATTTTTTCTTCACGGAGAACCCAAAACAACCGAGAAAGCAACTGTTTCTGGGGTTGGTTTGATGAGGTTTGGCCATGGAAGAAGAGGTCATTAGAGAAGAATTAGGGAGACCGTAGACATGCAGGAGAAGAGACTTTGAACACGCGAACTGGTTGGCTCGCTAACTAATGGAATAGTATTATTCTATTCGTATGAAAAATAAACCAAGGTAGAATATTTTTATATGTTTGATTTACTGGATTGAGATGTTATATTTAAAAAATGATTAAAATTTTAATATTATAGGCTCTATTATTAGAATATTTTTATAATGTTTGATTTGAATTAATTAAATAATAAATTAGATATTAATTGTTAAAAAAATAAATTAAAAGATTGATTTTTTTGGGAGAAGACTTGGACTTGGTGTTAGAGTGTTTTTCTTCCCACACGTTTTCGCAATTGTACAATCAACTTCCTTAAAATATACAATAATGCAACATGCTTCGACAAATCTGTTATAATACTAAAAATTCATTATTTCAATGCCCATGGAAAGCAAATCCTAGTTTCTCTTTTTCCTGAGTTTATATTTTTTTTTTCTATCTTTGTGACAGGCGGTAACACTAGTCTTAAAGTTGGTTAACGACTATTAGTATTTATTATTTTTATTTTATTATAACGTATCTTTATTTTTAATTTTAATTTTTTAATAATTATACTTTTATGGCATGTTTTCTTGTCTTTATGATATACTTTCAACAGTTTGGTTATTGTTATTGTTTATTCTTATTCTCAGGATTGGATTTAACATCGTCATGACTGATCAATATGTCACATATTTGTTATCATGTTGATTTTTCATGCTTTAGACCCTCATATTATATTTGGATACACGAATTGTGTTCGTGGATAATTTTTTTCACAAACTCGACTATGGTTTGTGGTTTGTCGGTGATTTTTTCAATAGCTTGATCTCTTTTTATTATTTGTTTATCGATGCGGTCAGATCTATTTGTATCTACATTTTGTTTGAGTTTATTTGATTAAGTTTTTTTAACTTTTTTCTTGAGCGATCCTTGTGTCATCTTAAGTGGTTAGTTTTCTTGTATTAGTGATTGTAAGAAAATATATTTGTTATGTGTTTAACTTACGGTTATATTTATAAACTTCCATTGTAATTTATATATTTTCTAATTTTAATAAAACTATCCACGTCTATGAGAGAGAGAAATCACTTTAACAATAAACATGTAAAAGCTGGGAGAAGACTTGATGGTTGGGTCTGGTATGGGCTGATTCGTGTAGCTTTAAGAGTGAGATTGAGTTTATAAGATATTAGTCGAATTAGACGCAAGTGAGTCGAATAGGCTTTGTTTTACTCGCAATTCTTTTTATTTAGTGTTGTTGGAATCGAACCAAACCGAACTGACTGATTGAACCGAAAAATATGCGGATCCGATGTTCCAACTAGTGCTACAAATCGAAAGTGTAACGAATTGTTCAAAACTGGTAAAAAATGAAAAAAAAAACTAGGAAATTGAATCAAAAAATCTTGTTAAAAAAATCATATAAACTGGTTTTCTCAATTTTTAACTTATTAGTTTGAATTTTTTCATCTTAACTTGCTGGTTTAATATATCTGTGCGGGCGCATGTTAATGGTTTTCTCTGGGTGCATGTTAGCAGGGCTAACGAGATCTGAGTTTTCCGGTGCGATTTTGACGATTTTCTGGAGGTCTTCGATCAGTTTTTTCTCTTCTTGGTTCTTTCCATGATGAGTATTGGTTTAATGGATCGGAGGAAGCTCTTTGGGAGTGGTGCTAACATAACCTTGGAGTATTTCCCTCTAGTGATTCGAGAAGGGTCCCCGACTACGTCTGTTCAGCCTCCTTTGGAGGTTTTCGAGGTTGGTATTTCAGAATGGAAATTGTCCTTTGTGGGGCAATTCCTTGGGTTAGCTCCACCATTTGCTTCTATGCAATGTATTGTAGTTAATATGTGGAAGACGGCTCTGATAGGCTCGGGTGTTCAGGTCAGTCTAGCTGGTAGCAATTTGTTTGTTTTTCGTTTAGCTCTGAATCTGCTCGTGATTGGGTTTTAGAAAACGGACTGTGCCATATTCAGAATAAGTCATTGATTTTAAGAAAATGGGAACCAACTATGAAACGATTAGATTTTGATTTATCTCAAATTCCTGTTTGGGTTTAACTCTATAATGTGCCATTAGAGCTTTACTCACGAGCTGGGTTAAGCTACATAGCAAGTGTTTTAGGTGTTCCTATGTTTATGGACTCTGTGACTGCGTCTAAGTCGAGGTTGAAGTACGCTAAGGTTTGTATTGAAATTGGTATGAGGGATTCGATTTCTAAATCTGTTGATGCTGCGTTGCAAGGTGGGCTAGCCACTTCGATTCGAGTTGTGGTCCCTTGGATGCCTCCTTGTTGCCCGAGATGTAGTGTCTTTGGGCACAGTGAGAAAGTATGTTCAGATGTGCTAAAACCTCAACATACTGTGGTACAGGTCTAGAGGAATAAAGGAGATGATAAATGTCCTGAAATTGCTGTAATTGGTGGAATTGAGGCATTGCATGAACCTGTCCATCTTGATGGTGAAGGGTTGGAGAATTAGGTGAGTTCTCAAGTGGAAGAGTTGGTAGAGGAACTGGTGGAAGAATCTAAGGCCATTAGTAAGGTTGCAGTAGGCATGACTGTTATTGAAGAGTCTGTTATTTTACCTGCTGCAGTGGATTTTCCTGTTCTCCAAGCATCTTCTCATAAAAAGAAAGCTAAAGGGAAAGGTAAGGATAAAAAACTTCTAGCTGGTTTTTCGAATCATTTTAAGGTACTTGTGACAGTTGCTGGTATATAAGGTGCTAGGAAGTCTCGAGTAGTTTCTATGGGTGTTGTTGCCCTTTTGAATGAAATAAAAAATTAAAAGAAATATATTATGGATAAGTCTGTGAGAGTTGCTGTGGGAGCTGTTGGGGGGGAGGTTAATCCTGTTTTTACTCAATGATTGCCTGCTTCTGGAATGTCAGGGGGTTCAATAACCCTATGAAGTAAGTGCAAGTGTTTTCGAGACTTGGTTAGCTTAATGTGGATATTGTTTGCCTTATGGAGACTCGGGTGATGAGTGTTAATATGGATAGACTGATTGATTGTTATTCATTGGATTGGGATAGTTACTCTAATCATGAGTATTATGAAAATAGGAGATTATGAATATTTTGGAGGAAATGACTAAATTTTGCAGTTCTGAAAGTTTTAGATCAATTCTTGTCTATAGTTGGTGAGATTAGCGACCATAGATGTGTCATAATATTTGTTTATGGAAGTAATAATGGGGCTGATAGGAGAAATCTTTAGAGGCAATTGGAAGAGGTGGAAAGCATGGTGGGGTGTCTTCTTGGTTAATAGGTGGTGACTTCAACATTATTACTAATGCTGAGGAAAGTTCTAATTTTGAGAGGTTAGGACCTTATGATATTGTTGATATGGAGGCATTCAGAAATTGTTTATCATCCTTGGTGCTTATAGACCATCCTTTTGTGGGGCCTCTATTCACATGGTCTAATAGGCAAGAAGGGAATTACTTAGCTCGTAAGCTGGATAGAGTTCTAATCAATTCTCGGTGGCTTGAGGATTTCCCAAATTCCTTTGTTGAATTTAAGGCTCAAGGGGTATATGATCATTGCCCTACTTTGATTTCTTTTTTCAAGGAAAATCCTGGTCACAGACCTAAGCCTTTTAAGTTCTTCAACTGTTGGGCTAGGCATGGGGATTTTAAGAATGCAGTCAAAGAGTCCTGGTAGCTTGAAGTGTCTGACACTATTATGCACTGCCTGTTTATAAAGTTGAAAAAGCTCAAGTTGAGGTTAAAGGAGTTTAACAGATGTCATTTTGATGACATATCTAGGAGGGTTAAGGCCAATAGGGATAAGATTGAGCAAGTGCAACTTGCAAATCTTTTACAATCTGGTTGTTACTTAGATGATGAAAAGATTATTCAAGATGAGCTTCATGACCTTGAGGTGGCTGAAGCTTCTTTTTACAAGCAGAAAGCCAAAGTTCACTGACTAAAGGAGGGTGATAGGAATATTAAGTTCTTTCACTTTGCTGTGTTGAGGAAAAGAAAGAAGAATATTGCAAGATTACTTTATGCTAAGGATGACACTCGGTTGGATATATTTGAGACTATGTCTGATGAGATGGTACGGTTTTATACTGAGCTACTTGGTGTTGAGGATGTTGAAGTTAAAAGTTGTGATATAGATCTTCTTAAGGGCTTATTGGGGTAAGAATTACCTTATGATGCCGCTGATTCTATATTAAAGGAGGTTTCTAATGAAGAAATCAAGGCTTCTATGTTCAAGCAAGGGAATGAGAAGAGACCAGGGCTTGATGGGTATACTGCATATTTTTTCAAGGTGACCTGGGATATTGTGTAAAAGGATTTTTTAGCTTCCATTAGAGAGTTCTTCCAGACTGGTTCTCTGCTTCTTGCTTTTAATGCTACAACCATCGTCTTGGTGCCTAAGTCTCCCAATGCAGGTATGGCTAGGGATTTTCGCCCTATTTCTTGCTGCTCGATTGTTTATAAAACTATCATTAGAATTCTTGTAAATCGTTTGGCTAGTTACTTCCCAGACATGATTCTGCCAAATCAGTCTGCTTTTATTAAGGGGTGTAGTATAGTAGATAACACACTGCTAGCCCAGGAGATAGTTAGGGGATATTCTCGCAGTTCACTTTCTCCTAGGTGTGCCCTTAAAATTGACCTTAGGAAAGCTTTTGACTATGTATGTTGGGAATTTTTGATGAAAGTACTTGCTTCTTTGGGGCTTCCTAAGGTGTTTAGGGGTTGGATTATTGCTTGTGTCATTGGTGCAAGGTTTTCTATGGCCTTCAATAAGAGCTTAGTGGGCTATTTTAAAGGGAGTAGGGGAATAAGGCAGGGTGACCCACTGTCCCCTTATCTCTTTGTTCTTGTTATGAATGTATTGTCCCACTTGTTAAACGTTACTGCTAGAAATGGTTTAATTCGGTTCCACCCCAAATGTAAGCGTGTTTCTCTTACTCATCTTAGCTTTGCTGATGACCTACTCATTTTTTGTCATGATACTGAGGACTCAATATTGGGTGTTGTTGGGGTTCTTGGGGTTTTTTATGAGTTGTGTGGGTTGCATCTAA